GGACCCTCTGTCTCTTGTCTTCCTACCTACATTACTACCAGCATCAGTCATTCTTCTACCATCTGCCAACATCCACTGTTGTCTTTCAAACCCTTTCTTGCCAGGCTGTTCCAATGCCCCATCCCCTGGAGCTCACTGAATTCCAGATTGATTTTGCTCTGAGATCCCCCTCCCCTGTGGCCACAGCACTTTCTCTCATGTGGCCTACATCCTGCAATGAAGTCTCATTCTCTTTTCCTTCTGGGCAGCCGTCACCATGGGGACCACTCTATCCTATGGGTCAACTCTCTGGCTATGCAGAGGTTTCTAGTTCACTCGTGAGAGTTCCACTATTTAGAATCAAACTACAGTTTTGCTTTTTGAAGGTTCTTCTATTGCTTCAGAACTCTGCCCATAAAACTGTTCGTTGCTTGCTGCCTTTCAATTATCTGGTTTTTGCCTTTCCATTCACCTTAGACATTCATATTTTACCAGATGTTTTGGACATCTCCCAGCCTTTTTGATTTTCTGTGATGGGAGTTTTCAACCTTTTTTAGTACCCCTGGTGGCCAGACATGGAGCAGGAGGGGACAGGGGGGTGCGTGGCTGGACCTGGGGGGTGAGGGGGAAGGGTGGTGAATGGCCGGACGTGGAGCAGCAGTAGCATGGGGTGGTGGATGACGGCAGTGGTGCAGAGGGGTGCCGCTGCCCTCATCCTTCTCCTGGGAGGTGGCAGTGGTGGGTGGCGGCGCTCTGTCCCCGCATTTCCCCTAGGGCTTTCCCAAGTACCCCCAGCGGTACACGTATCCTCGATGGGCAACCCCTGTCCTATGATATGTCTTGGCAAACTGAGTCTCTATTTCCTTTCTCTCTTTGGGACAGAAATGTTTATTTGCAAGAAGGAGAATCATTAACTACAAACCACATTTTTGTCCTGGTGGTTGCTTTTCATTTATCTCCACCATCTACACCTTTAGTATGAGCCATGGACCTCAAATTCCTCTTTGTTCCCTCTAATACTAACTTGTTTGTTGACACCTTTGTGTAGTGCTGTTTTGACATTGTCTGCTTCTGGCTCCACTTCACCTCAGCTGGAGTTTTCATTCTTATTTCTCACTCCTGATGTGACTACTGTAGCACCCTCTCTGAGGCCTCTTGTGACTGCAGTGTGTCGAGAATGCTCAGGCCTACGTTCTTGCATCAAAATGTGTCCCTGGGATACCTTATCTGCACACAACTAACTTTTTATTAACCATTTTGTTTTGTCACCTTGTTCCTGTTTATGATAGTTGCCCATGGATTTGCTTTGTTGATCTTGTGGACCTCACTTTTGGTTTCACTCGCCTCTCTCTCCCATGTGCCCTTCCCACCGATCATTGCTTTTGGCAGAGAGCTGCCCTCTCTGCAAATCTTTCCACTTGGAGCCAGTTGTTTTGTTAACTAAGCAGTGCTCCTTATTTCTAATCTCTGTCCTTTTTCTCTTTGCTGCTACCATCATTGCTGTGTTTGACTCTGCAAAGCATTTATAATTTTAGTCTTAAAAGTAGAAGGTTTTTTGCTAAAAAAATAATTTGAGTTTGATTACTGAAAAATAAGGTGTGAAAATGTGGACTTGTGCACACCAAGAACAGGGGTTTGGCTTGTTTATTTGTGGTGTTTGAATGCATCTGAGCACTATATTAGTCCTGGGCTAAGAGCCTACTATATTAAGTGTGATATAGATGATTCCTGCCTTTTCCCTCCCCCTCCCCCCCCCCCCAAAAAAAAAATTAAGTAACTAAAGTCCTTACAATTAAAGAGTAGAAAAAGAGAGAACAGATGAGCATAGGCAGACAAGGGAGAAGAATCAGTTGATCAGTCAACGCAATTAATTTGAGGACTTAGCCCATGGATAGGGCTTTTTGGGGGCATTACAACAAAAGAGAACTTTAAGAAGGTTAAAGAAGTAGCTTTGTCAGCATTTCTCCTGCATGAGAGAAGTAGCATGGGAGAGAGCATACAAATGCTTGATTGAAAGTTTTAACAAGTCAGTGATTTGGTGGCTCAGGTGACACTGGACATGCATTTTTTCCCCTGAATAACTCCCCCCAAATACTGCTTTTCTAGAGGGGCCCCGGATGCCAGATACATATTGAGATGAATCCTGTCTGGGTGATATCAGAGCCATAGTTTGATTCCCAGGAGCATGAGAGAGAGAAGAACATGGCGACCAAAAAGTTTGGTGTTCTTGCTTGTTTTGGTGATGTTAGCATCACCAAAACAAGCGAGAACACCAAAATTTTTGGTGCCACAAGACCCTTGCTCTAATTACCCTGAGTTGTCATAAGGCACAGAGGTTTTTCAAGACTATTTTTTAAAATTCAGGGAAAATGTCTCTTCCAGCAGTAGACTGGGCTCAACCTTAATGATAATGTCTTATAGAACAAGGCCAAATTACTCAGTTGCTTATGATGGGAAATGTAGAAAAATACTGCTTGGTTGGGACTGCAGGAGGAGTTTCAGTAAGCAGAATGTTGTTACCTGAAGGTTTCAAACTCATAAAGTAGATGAAATGTTCATGGATTTGGAGGCTGGTGTCCTGGGCCAATTAGAGGTGTGAATTTACCCTCTGGATCCTAAATGAGAGAGGCTGTAAAGGACCTTGAAGGTAAGAAAAATTTTGTTGTTTGATGCAACAGGGAAAAAGGAGCAGTAAATGGCTATGAAAGTGGGCAGATCTGATCAAAGTGACAAGGAGACTTTCTGCAACAGCACTCTGGATGTTAATAGGACAGGAGTGGGCAAAATATGGCTCACAGGCCTGTTCTGGCCCATGGCAGATCCCTTGGTCCCACCCAGCCCAGGTGTGGTGTGCAACCTGGGCTATGGAACATGCAGCCAGTCCTGCCACCCTCAGGCATGCCATGGTGCTGGGGTATTATGGCAGCCAGACTTGCTTCCCAGCAGCCCTGGTGGCAGCTCCTTCCACCTTCCTTCTGTTGCTGCCAATCTCCACTGCCCACCAGGGATTTTGGACAAAGTGGGCAGGCAGGATTTCCATGGAGACCCACCCATGGCTTTGTCCCTGGCCCCATGCTATCAGCCCCCCAGTCCTGATCCTCTTCCTGGCCCCAGCCCTGCCCACATGCCCCACTCATGGATGCTGCTCTCTGCCTACCTGTGGCTGCATTCTTTTCGCTTCACTTCCTCTTGGCCTCTTGGGGAGTTTGGGTGAGCTGTTGTGGGGGTGGCACTGATCTGGCCCATGACAGCTCACCAAAATTCCCTAAGTGGCCCTCAGGCCCAAATAATTGCCCACCCCTGTAGTAAGAGGACATTTGTCAAAGTCAGTAGTTAATGGAAATGCTGGAGTAACTGAGGCCTTGTCTGTTGCAAAGTTGTTCTGGCATTGCAATGTCAGCTAGATATGTGGAAAGATCACACCCTGTAGCTGTTATAGATCTGTCACTAAAACCCCTGGTGTGGACGCAGCCCTACTGGTAGCAACAGATCTGCTGTTTGTGGGAGCTGATGTAACTCTGGCAGCAGAAAGTCTTCTTGTTTTGGCAAGGCTGCATCTTTTGGTCCCCAAAAGGGGACCAGCTTCTTTACTTATAGGAGCAGCAACACTTTAGTATGTAGTACACTTCAGCCATGTGATGAGAGCTAGAGTAGTGTTTGCTGTGTGCATGGATAGGAAAGATAGAACCTTAGGGTGCCTATATGCATGCTCCAGTGCCTTCGAGTTGGAACGTGCTGGAGCAGACTCATTTGAGTCTGTTGCAATGTTCTAATTAGTGTGCTGTGGCATCTTGTGTATTCAATGTCCTGCACTTCAAAATGGTGGCAGAGGTGCTTTAACTAAAGCTCATTGCATGAGCTTAAGTTAGTGTCCCTGCTGCCATTTTGAAATGAAAGATGATGAGTACACAAGATATTGCGACATTAATTGGAGTGTGTATAGTCACCCCTAGAGATGGTATGCAGTCTGGAAATGACGAGAGAGTCAAAGATCATCCCTAAGTTATGGGCCTAGTTTCATAGTTTCTAGAGTCGGAAGGGACCTAGGCAGATCATCTAGTCCATAGACTATATGGAACAAGTTGACACCTTGGGCATCCATGAAACTTCAGACAGGCTGAGGTTTTAAGTTTTGCAGAACATGGGTCTGGAGCAGAGGGGTCAATCTGTATATGGTATCCACATAGTGATGCTATTTAATGATTATGGATGAGATAACCAAGCGATAGGAATGGAGGGAGAGAGAAGGGAACAAAAATAAAGGCCTGTGAAACCGCACAGAAGGCTGCAGGGAGAAGGGTAAGGAGGATTCCTGAAAGGAGTGATTTTTAAAAAGGAGAACCTGGAAAACAAAGGAAGATCCAGTTCTAATTAGATGAGCATAATTGGCTATGTTGCAGTTAGCTAACATCACAGAGGATGGAGATGGAATACTAGCTCTGAGATTTGGTCAAGAGCAAGTCGTTAGGTTTGGGTGAGAGCAGTTTGTGGGATGCAGTGGTAGATGCTGATTAGAGAGTATCTAGGATAGAATTAGAGCACAACAAATGTAAACAGCATGTTCACTGAGCTATGATATATCTTTCCTTAGGGAGGAAAGGAAAAAGGAAAGTCTTGGTTAAGATGCAACTGGAGTAATAGGTGGAGAGACTAAAGTATGTTTTACTGTGAAATGTGAGAGCCAGGGGAGGTTAAGGAGAACCATAAAGATGGGCTAGGAGTGGATGTAAGGAGACCAGAAGGTTCATTTGAGTTACAGAGGTCTGAAGGTGTTAGGAGGAAAGCAGATAAATATTTTATGCTTTTTGATCTGATGCTGGAGGGGGACTGCATGAATGAGACTAATGTTGGAGATAAGGGCAAGAGCATAGGTTCTTAGTGCCCAGGTGAGGAAAATGGTGGATTGCAGGGATGGAGTTGGAAAAAACTTTGGTTGTAAAATTCCAGAGCAAGTGACTCAGATTTGGTACATCCTCCATGTGCATTCTGAAGCCCCCTGTTTCTTGCTTGTGTTTCTGCAGTGCGGCTCCATGACAGTATTTCAGAAGAAGGTTTCCACTACCTCGTCTTCGATCTGTAAGTGCCTCTCTTTTTGGTTTTGATGCTTTAGTGCTGATGTAAACTACAGATTGTTAAACTGAGACTAAAAGATGCTTGAATCCCTCTTCCCTTCCCTCTGGGGATTTACACACCGGCCACAGTCACCTTGACAGTAATCTGTTGAGAGAGGATCTCTTCTGCAGCAGAGTCCTGGCCTCCGCTCTGGGGACAGTAGTGGCTGCTCGGAGGGTTCCAGAGCACCTCTCTTGTAGGTAATCCCATATGAAGCTGAGTAAGGCAGACTCCTGGAAGAGCTTGAACTGCAGCAGAGAGTAGTCTGTCCCAGGAGCAAGTGTGTATCCCTGGGGCTTCCTAGCTGCACCTGAGTAGTCTCTCTAACTTACTTTGTTCTCTTATGCTTCAGGGTAACTGGTGGGGAGCTATTTGAAGATATTGTAGCCAGAGAATACTACAGCGAAGCAGATGCTAGGTAAGATTTGCCTTTTTATGTACCAATCCTGATGGGGAGTGCAGTCAGTTTCCCCTTTATCTTGTGTTGTGCATAGCTTCTGTATATGCATCTCATTCCCTACATGGAAAGCCTTTTTTCCCTTGTATTGCTAATGCAGATGTTTCTGAATTGCTATCACCACAAGCAGTGACATCAGTTTTTCACTCAACAAGGTCTGTCTCTTGCCCTTCTACAGATACTGCTTTGCATTTTGCTTTTGAAGCCTCACTGCCTCATGTTTGCTTCTGGGGTGGGAGCTGCAGGGCAACTTTGGAGGGGTAAAGTCTGAGTGGAAGAATTAACATGTCATGTGGTTGCATTTAGGGATTGGAGTCCTGGATTCCCAGGCTCTTATCCCAGTTCTATGAACAATTTATTTGTCTTGGGAAAATGTACTTATTTTGTTTGCCCAGGGTGGATAAAAATAAACAATTTAAAAAATAAATAAAAATCAGATTTTAATAATATTTGTTATTATTTTAAAGGTGCTTTTTAAAAAATAAACCTGTATAAAGGTAGTTTTAATTACGTTATGTTAAAGCTGAAAGGTATCATCATAGTAGAGGAATCAGAAGTTCTAATCATATACTATTTGAGACAATATATTCATGTAACCTTCTTAGAAAAGTTTTATAAATGCGTTACAACAGGCTGTGGGCTATATTAGGGGCCTAATCTTACGGGGTTCCCAGAGGCTCCTCTGTAGATTAGTATAGATTAAAGAAAACCACTCTTCCCAATGGGACTCAGTACTTAGTCTAGAAGATCCCATTAAGTATGTCTATGATGTTTACTTTGTTTTCAAACTATTCATTTGTCTCTCCAGAGATAACATCCTTGTTAACAGCAGTATATGCAGATGAAAGATAACAGACCTGCTTACCTACCAATCAGCCCTATTGTCTCTCTGCAAGATACATGCACAGTCAAGCCCTTACCCCTCTCTAAAAGTGCAAAGTTACAAGGAGTTAAATGAACAGAAGATTGTCGGGAGTGGAGTAGATCTGGGCAAGGAAGAGGAGTCTGGAGATAAATGCAAGGAGGCAGGGATAGTAGAGACAAAAGAGAAATGTTTTGAGCAGAATGTTGTCAAAATTGCAAATACTTCCATAACAACCACTTTGCAGCAGCTGCTCTGAAGAAAGCAAGAGGAGCCAAACTAACTGTCCTACAAAATGTGCTATAGAACTCAGAAGTGGACTGTTTTGAGTGATTATATTGAGAAACTGGCCTAATCTGATGACAATTTGTGAACAAAATAGATGGAATTGTCATAGCCAAAGTTCTCAACATTGGGATAAGCAGAAATGTATGCTGGCTATTAGACCTGTGCAAAGCAGCAACTATTCTCTTTGGATTCGGATTCAGTCAATTCAGACGGACAGTGATTTGATTCGGGGGCGGGGGACTGCAGGTGCAGCATTGCTGGGAGCGGGTGCTACGCCCTGCTTCTGCTTGCCCAGCCAGGGCAGGGAAGGTTGCAATGCAGGCACGGCATGCTCCGGACAGAAGGGGGCAAGCTGCCTCTCCCAGTGTTGCCGCACCTGCATCCCATACTCCCCCGCCCCCACTCCCAGTGTTACTGTGCCCACATCCTGCCATCTCCTCTGGCTGGGCAAACAGGGGCAGCACCCACTCCCCGCTGCCCCCTTCCACCCAGAGTTATCTGCACCTGCATCGCACCCCGCCCCAGCTGGGCAAGCAGCAGCAGGCATAGCCCCTCATGCCCTGGCTGGGCAGCTTGTCCCAGCCCCAAACCCTCCCTTGCTATGGAGGTGTTGATCTTCCCCCCCCCCCACCACAACAGACTTACCAGCTAGAGGCAGCTGTGCCCAGCATGGTGAGGACTGCTGCCTGTTTATAGCCGAATCTCCAAATCAGGCTGAATCTCCTCCGAATCGAATTGGCTACCGAAGCTTCGCACAGTCCTACTGGCAATCCTGAAGCCTTTTTGTTTCCTTGAGTAAAGGTTATATTAAACAACAAGAATGCACTTCTTGTAGAAAACAGTGATTAAATCAAGAATTCCTGACCATTGATTTAAACCATATCCACTCTGTTTGCCTTGGTTTTGCCAGGCATAAAGGGAAGACTAAAGGACTTCAAGATGTCCAGCCAACTGGTGTAATGAAGTGCAGGACGCTGAAGTAGAGCATTGTTTTTCAACAGTAAACAGGCTATTGTAAGAAGAGAGGTAGGCTTGTGTGCCCACCCTTCTAAGACAGTACTGGGCTCCTTACTAACTATTCTGGTCATCCTTTAATTCATAGATTCATAGATGTTAGGGTCAGAAGGGACCTCTATAGATCATTGAGTCCGACCCCCTGCATAAGCAGGAAACCCCTGCATAAGCAGTAAAGAATACTGGGTCTAGATGACCCCAGCTAGATACTCATCTAACCTCCTCTTGAAGACTCCCAGGGTAGGGGAGAGCACCACCTCCCTTGGGAGCCCGTTCCAGACCCTGGCCACTCTAACTGTGAAGAAGTTCTTCCTAATGTCCAATCTAAATCTGCTCTCTGCTAGCTTGTGGCCATTATTTCTTGTAGCCCCCAGGGGCGCCTTGGTGAATAAATACTCACCAATTCCCTTCTGTGCCCCCGTGATGAACTTATAGGCAGCCACAAGGTCGCCTCTCAAC